ACTGCTTCATACAATGAGGCCCCTTTTTGAGGTTCCAAATCCCTTTTCAAGGAATCTCATCCAGAGAAAAGTCAACTCCTTGATTAAATCATTTTCCTAGTCAATACAATCAAGAAGTGAGGGGTCCACAAATTGCAGCTCAAGTTTTTGGACTATGTACAGGGAAAATTGTAGCTCCACATAATTCATGATACAGGACCAACTTTAAGGCCTTTTATAGCTAAAAATTGATATGATCAGCTTAAAGGAAGTTGAACAGTTTTTTCAAGAAAGTAGCTTTAACCATGGAATAGCTCTTGGAAGCATTTCACGAAAGAAAAATTGGTCAGATAGAGCTCCATTCTCAGTCCAATATACAACAACAACAACAACAACGACCCAATGAAATCCCACTAGCGGGGTCTGAGAAGGGTAGTGTGAACGCAGACCTTACCCCTACCCCGAGGGAGTAGAGAGGCTGTTTCCGATTTCTCAGTCCAATATGAACCTGCTAATTTTGTCAGATTAGTTGCGCAAAATAATTAGTTGATCATTTCAGGACAATTCTGTCCATTAGTTATTTTTTCCTTGCTGTCTTTTGATAGAAATTAACTGAAAGAAGTCTACTTCTGACAAAAGAGAAAGAAATAACATCATATTGATCTAGGAAAATTCATGTGCTGCCAAACAAGGATGACTATGTTAGACTATGTTAGATCAGGCTCGTTATTTGGATGCAAGATTGTCTCAGACTTGACTTTGAATTGCTCAGGCACATGAGCAATTTGGAATTCCAGTCTAATTTGTGGCTTATGAACTTGATCTAGTTTTATCAAATTTGATACCATATTGTTCAGTGAAGCTCAGATGTATTCGATGCTGGCTAAATTTATGATAGAGATGATAACATATGAAATATATAGTGGACATCCCTAACAAAATATCTTATCATAAGCCACAAATCAGACTGGAATTCCAAATTGCTCATGTGCTGTTTAAGAAAATTAATGACTCTGCATGCACTCTAAGGAGATGAAACACAGTCAAGAAAAGGATGAAACCAGTCACACGGCAGACAAGGAATCCAGAGGAATACTCACTACAATTTCTGAGAATTAGCAGCACAGGGTAACTTAGATCTTCATTTTAACTTCTAAAGGGAGGGGGAAGTTCATTGGGTAAATAAGTAACACTTTCCGTTGTAAATCAAAAGGTTTACCGTGTTCATGATGTTGGCCCTTTATGCTAATGCGTTCCCATGGCTTTTCAACTATATCAACAATTGCAGCAGTGACCTACAAGAACAGAACAGGAAAAATAACTTAAGAAGATCTGTGTAAGGTGAGTGGTTCAGTCCTATAATTATATTAAGCAATATCATCTGCAAAGCACAAAACATCCCAAAGTCTGCATACAACAAAAGGCAACAAATATGCAATTGCTTATTCTTCTCTACAGAGCAATTGCCAGATGAGTGGACATAACATAAGATTGATCTGTAAGAAAAAGGAGAAGTCTTTTGGAGCATTCTCTACACGTATAGCACAGTTTACAAAACATAGTACCCTTCCGACTATTACTAAATTCAGTGGCTAGAATAACCAAGTAGTCATGGCAGACAACTGACATCATTACATGATAATAGACAAATGGTACCTGCTGATAAAAAGAGGTGAAGTGCTTCGCAAGTATAATGGCAAAATCTTCAGCTGAAAGTTGCTCTGAACATTCCTTAGCTTTGGCATACACCTGTTTCAAGGTCCAATAATCGGAACTTAGAACCAAATGACATAAAGGAAAATCCAGATTATAGGATATAACTACACAATATAATCAGCAGGGTCGGACGTAGAGCACGGATACCGGGTTCATCTGCACCCGGTACTTTTGGTACGGAGTAGAAATTTATGAGTAAAAATTTACTAAAATTGCAACAAACAGTAGATATGAACCCATAACTTATAAATAATAACGTGTTCAATACCAGGAATTATAAAGGTTGAACTCATAAAGCTTAAATCCTGGATCCGACTCTGATAATCAGATTTAGTTTCCGAAATGTAAAAGCTGAATTTGAGAACTTCTAAAGCAGATTTAGACCTAATGCAGAGAAGAAAAGTGACAAAAACTCGTGATCAGACAAATAGCTTAAATAATTATATCAATCCTAATGTCTCGTTCATAGCTCAGATCTCTTAGAAAACTATTACAAAAAGCAAAACTCGTCAATTTCATATCAAGTTATTAACACGAAAAATAATCAGTAGTACTATTTAAGTTCGTAGATGATGAAATTGAGCATCAGGTATACATGATCTAACAAAATTCTAAATACATGCATATAAATCAGCTGTTACACAAAGAAAAAAAAGGAGGAATTACAGTATTTTTCATGGTATCGGTGGCGACGATATCGGAATTATCACCGGCGACATAGGCAGGTAAACAATCGGAGAGGAGGCTAATGTTAACACTCCATTCAGCAAAGTGATACTTCCCGTCATGACTTTTCCAAACCCTGGCTACTCTCACTCTGGATTTTCCATGCCTCTGCTCCAGTTTCAGTCCATTCACTTCCGCCATTTCCAATCGATCGATTTGTTTCTCTTTTTGTCCCTTTTCACAAATGCTCAGCCTTCCTACTCACGGCTCTGTGCGCTGTATGTATGCATATACGTATTAATTAATGTATTATCGACACGTGTCAATCGTATCTATCGTCGCACATGAAACCACATTGCTTTCCGGCCCCACTAACTATACCGTGGGCGTTTTTTTGTAGTAGAAGTGTAGAACTTTAGAAATAAATACCTCTTTGATTCAATTTATATGACAGTAATTTAACTGGACATTATAAAAGAAAAATTTCAAAATTTGTAATTTTAATAATAATAACAATAAATTTAATGTAATCCTATAAAGTAGAATTTGAGAAGGAGATGTACCTTACTCATATTTTGTAAAGATAGAGACACTATTTTCAATAAATTTTCGACTAAAAAAATAACAGAAAAAAAGCATTTGCAGCAAGCAGTAGAATAACCTAAGCGAAAGAAATAAGAGGAAGTAAATGCAAACTATAAATAAGGAAGTACAAGAATAATGCTACATATAACTAGTACAAAAATATATATATATATATATATATACAATTACCTACTAACCTTCTACCCTAATTCTCGACCTCCACACCCTCCTGTCAATATAAAATAATATTTTTGTAATTATATAATTTTTAAAAATTTGAAGTTTTAAATTTGATATATTATTTGTATGATTATTCAATTTTTACTAGTAGTAAATTAGGTGAATAAAATAAATATATATTCCCTTCATCTCAAATTAATTATCCTGGTTTAAAGTTTGAAGAAAAGGGTGTGGAAAGGTTGAAGCAAAGTTTTGGAAAATATTTTTTCTTTCTCTTGACATGAAAAATATTTTTCTTCAATTGGAAGAAAATGAGTTCATGAAAAAAATATTTTTCAAAATATTTATGCCAACCAAACATGAGAAAATTGAAAAATATTTTCCGAAAAATATTTTTTTCATATCAAACATGGAGACTAAAAGTGTACCACTTTATTAAAGAATGTGAACTATTAGTGCTCATGTGAAAAAAATATGACTAGTTTGTGTTAAAGTCCAAAGATACTGGACTATTTTGGACCTTTTCTCACCTAGAAGCGCACTGCCACAACTCACTGCCACCTTGATCCACTCTTGGTTGTCCGTTTCCTAGGGACAACTTAATACTAAAAAGACAATACATCGACAACCCCTTAAAGTTGTCTACATTTTTTATTTAGACATTCCATCTTAAGTCCGTTCCATTTGAACATTTTAGCCGGACATTAACTGGGTCATTTAGACACAATTTGATGTTGTGGCATAGTGTGTGTATTACACTATTTTTCAGAGCGTGAAAGATTTATTTTTCTTTTTAATTTTTTTTTCTCTTTCTTTTTCCTTCAATTCTTTCACACACCATGATATGCTTTATTTTTTATTACCGGAATAAGTTTGCCGGACAAATTTCACTTTTTTTCTTCTTCGTTCCTCTTTTCTCAACTCAAATTCAATTTGCAGGTTCGTGACTTCCACACAATTTTAACTATTCTCCTTTCAAATACGAGGTCAATATCCGCATAAATTTTTTTGAACAACTTCTTCGGATCTGAAACACGTAGGTTCCGGCACTGACAAGCTTGGTGAATTAGTGCTTTTACTTCATCACTAAAATCTTCATTACAGACCCAATTCGAACGACATGGGTATCTCTGGAAGCTCCAGATTTGGCCATTGGAAACAAATTAAACCACTAATATTCGTTGCTGATGGATTCATTTTCAGCAATTTGGGATTAATTTTTCACGATAAGAATATTGTTACTAGTTGATTTATAAATAGATGTATAACATATATATTTAAAAAATTAGTCTACTTTAGAGTCAAGTATATTTGCATCTCCTCTGAATTGTAAAATTTCTACTGACCTCCCTTTTTGAAAGTACTATGAAAGCAAAGTTAGGAACACAGACAAGGTGATTTTGCCATCAACTACTCCTAAAATATACCACCGCACATAACGCCACTATCTTATTATTAATCGTTTGAAAATGATTTCCTGGTAGAATTCAGTTATGAAATAAAAGTAATTTAGTAAAATATGATCAAGAAATGTTGTTATGAAATAAAAATAATTTAGTAAAACATGAACAAGAAATATAAATAGAGAAGGAAGAGATTTTCTTCCTCAATTGTGTGTATTTTACTATCCGAAGAAAAATATGTTATTAAATATGTCATTAAGCATTTAAGACGAAAATTATTGAATAAGAGTGGATATCCATCATAATATGATTTTTCTTATAACAAATTCAAGATTAAAGTTTAGCTCAAAGATTAAATCTACGTGATTTATTTTAATATTTTCATTTACTATTCCTTTAATTAAGTTGCCTAAAACGGATGTTATATTGGTATTTCGCGCATAATAATATCTTTAAATCCATCAAGTTGGAGAAGTCTCTGTAATCTTCAAACTAAATTAAGATCCAAATAAGAAAAGCCTCCATTCTGATTATGGATTCAGCCGAAACACCAGATTCCGGCCACCGCCCGCCACCGCCACCTGACCGGACTCTTCCCTTCACCACAAAACTCAAACCCTTTTATCTGTTATCAACCTTGGTACTCCTTTTAGCAATTTCATTCAGTATTAGCAAAACAGATTACCACAAAAAACTCATCCTCAGATTAACCCTCTCACCAAATACCAATTTCCTTAAAAAGCTCCTAACTTTACTTCACCCAACAACCTTAAACACCCAAAAACAAACCTCAAAAAACCCAATTCACACAACCCCATATTGTGTCCTGTGGATGGCTCCATTTCTTTCAGGGGGTGGGTACAGTTCAGAAGCTTGGTCTTACATTTTAGCTTTAAATGAACACTCACTGAAAAAAGATTCAATCTTTAAGTTGAAAATTGAACAACATGGGGATCTTGAAAATCTTGAATTTTGGGAGGGTTTACCTTTAGAAATGAGAAATTTAGCTATTGAGCTTCACCAAACAGAATGTAGGTTAAATGAGACTGTTGTGGTTTGTCATAGCGAACCTGGTGCTTGGTATCCTCCACTTTTTGATACAATTCCATGCCCACCAATAGGTTATAGTGGTCATTTTAAGGCTGTAATTGGTAGGACTATGTTTGAGACTGATAGAGTTAATGCTGAACATGTGAAAAGGTGCAATCTCTTGGATTTTGTTTGGGTTCCTACTGATTTTCATGTGAAAACTTTTACTCAAAGTGGGGTTGATCCATTGAAAATTGTCAAGATTGTTCAGCCTGTTGATCTTGAGTTTTTTTATCCATTAAAGTATGAGCCACTAGAACTTGTGTCAATAGGGAATTTAGTGATGCGGTCATCTTTAACTGGATTAAATTTGGGGAAACAGTTTGTTTTCTTGAGTATTTTTAAGTGGGAGTATAGAAAAGGATGGGATGTTTTGTTGAGGTCTTATTTGACGGAGTTTTCTGGAGGTGATAATGTTGCTTTGTATCTGTTAACGAATCCGTATCATTCTGATGGAGATTTTGGAAACAAGATTATTGAATATGTGGAGGATTCGCATTTGGAAGAACCGAAAGATGGTTGGGCTCGAGTATATGTAATCGATGAACACATAGCACAGGTTGATATGCCTAGGCTATATAAGGCTGCTGATGCGTTTGTATTGCCGTCTAGAGGTGAAGGTTGGGGTAGGCCTATTGTGGAGGCAATGGCAATGGAATTGCCAGTGATTGCTACAAATTGGTCTGGGCCAATTGAATTCATGACAGAAGAGAATAGCTACCAGTTGCCTGTGGATAGAATGAGTGAAGTCAGAGAAGGGCCGTTTAAAGGGCATTTGTGGGCTGAACCTTGTGTCGATAAGCTGCAAATGCTAATGAGGCATGTAATGAGAAATCATGAGGAAGCTAAGGCCAAAGGTAGGCGGGCAAGGGATGATATGATGAGTGGGTTTTCTCCTGAGGTTGTTGCAGGGATCGTTAGTGACCATATAGAACGCATTATTGTTCGTGCATGATAATTGTTATGACCCTTTTTTGGATTGAGAAGAGGAGATTGTACGATTTATTGCAACAATATCAGCATTTCTAATCAATGCTACTCCAAGGATTGTTGTCCTGGCGGATCTAGTGTCATAATTTGATGAACAATTTTCCTTGATAGACGGAGATGTGACATAGATCTGGAAGCTGATGAATCCAATTTTGGAGTGAAAAGAGGTTCTACAAGGTGACAATGCATCGGAAGGTGTCCTGAGAATCAATTAACTGGATGGCGCAATCGACACTCATATATGTTCTTAAATGGAGTTGCTGTTAGATAAGTATGCATTTCTTAGCTAAAACCGGAATTATGTTGGTAATCAAGTTATGTTCTTTGTGATGAATATCAACAACAAATGTCTATTTTAAAGCTTAGAGCTATATTGGCCTTATCATGCTGTGGGTTGTTGGTTTGAAGTAGTATGAGAGGAAACACATGTTACCAACTAATTTCTGTAAGTTATCAAAATGGAACGAGAAAACAAAAAAAACAGCATTAAGGAGAAGCTCAATCACTTCTAACACCGGTGGACCGAGAGTATCAAGGGTGGAAGGAGGTAAGCAAAAAACCTCAACACTGTCCAAATTTTAATTTAACTTTAGTCCAAAGCTGGTATCAACTGAAAGAGCAGTTCAGCTAAGTAAGACTAATGTAGCTTAATGCTTATAGTTTGCTTCATTCGCTACATCAACAACTTGTTCATTTAGTTTATGTGTCTTTATAAGGAGTTTACTGATAAAAAGAAAGTTTTTACGATGAGTTTGAATAGATAATGAGCAACCAATCTCGAGCTAGTTTGAGCTGGCGATACAAAATTACTTCTTATTTTCAAGCCAGTTAAGAATGCATTGCTCTGATTCAATGAGCTGCTATTTCTTTTGCTTCAGAGTTACTTCTATTACGCCAAAGGAGCGTTTGTAGGTGATTATTCAATCTCTACCACCAAAGGATGTGGTGTAGCGGATGGGACTGCTCTTCCCTTAACTAGAGGTCTTGAGTTCGAGCCCTGGGTATGGAAAAATCTTGTAAAAATAGCATGGGCTAGCCAGTTTTCGGACCGGTAATCCAAAATAGCCAGCGTTTGCAAAGTCATTGAAATATAGCCACTATTTTGTTGCAACATGGACCGGTCCAGCATAATATACTGGAGATTGGTGCATTTGTGTATGAACTTCCAGCATATTATGTTGGAACTCCAACACGGGAAAAGTTCCAGCATAATATACTGGAGATTGGAGCACCTGTGTATGAACTTTCAGCATATTATGCTGGACCGATATATTATACTGGAACTTCAGCATAATATATTGGAACTCCAGTATAATATGCTGGAGTTCCAGTATAATACTGGAATTTCAGTATATTATACTGGAACTCCAGTATATTATGCTGGAATATTTTTCAGATTTTGAACAGTGTTTTCGTTCAGATTTATCTTTACATAAAAAGTGGTTAAATTTCGATTACTTTGAAACTGTGGCTATTTTTCAATTACCACTTGTAAATCTGGCTATTTTTGAATTTCTCCCAAAAATCTTTGGTAGGATTTGTTCCTCCCCGAATGGGGCCCTACGCGGTCCGAATCCGGATATAGTCGGGCTCCAATGCGGATACCGCATACCGGATGGGAAACAAATTTTTTTTTTATTCAATCTCTAAATAGAAGGAAATATTAAAACACAAAAAGAAGTAAACCAAATCATAATTATGGGACTTAATGATTGCAAAAGTTGTGTCAAATAAAAAAGTTGAGAGATAAAAATCTGTAAAAGTATATACCAAGATTCACTTTGTAGTAGGAATTCTCTTGCAAGATGTCAGAAAATCTACATCTGGTTTTTACCTCCTTTTAATCTTGGCCTTATTCTCTTCTGACTTCTCAGGTATTCTAAAGTGTACACAGCTCTTTAAAATGTCTATATAATGTGGATCCTAGTTGTACTATGATTCTTGGAACAGTGTAGTCAAAATGTTACTATTTCAGGGACATCATTTTTTATCTTAGTGTTTTAGGAACTGTATATAGCTATTTCTTTTAAAGTCTACCAAATTATGATGATTTTATATTGGGGATCTTGCACTCTGTACTCATTTCCACCTAAGTTACTCGGATTCGGGTGCGGGCATCCGATATAGGTGCAAATTTAGAGGTCGGATCCTTCATAATTTAAATTTTAAGAGTCGGGGTACTGATATGAGTGCGAGGATTCGGCTAAAAATAGTTTAAATATCTAAAAGTAGTGTTATAAAATATGTCTAAATTATGAAAAGTTATGTGAAAAACTTACAAGGTATTCCGAGAAGGAGAAAATATTGATCGAGAGGAGAACCCGTGAAAGAGATAAAAAGGAAAAGGACTGACATAGTAATTTTTATATACAAGATATTTTATTTTCTTCAATTTCACCCTAGCTTTTATTTTGATTTCAAACAACCATTGTATTTGTCCCGAATTTCTCCGTCGATTTTGGTCAAAGTACCCAAATATTGTTGACCAAAATCCGGTACTGATCTCACACCCACGTCCTGTTGACACGAGTGCGACACAAAAAGCGAAAGAGTCCGAGCAATTTAGATTTCCACAGCATTTTTCCAAAGAGGAGATTTAGTTTGTGTCACACAGCAGAATAATTAGAAGACTAAGCTATAAATAAGAGAAGACATATTTTCAACAAAAGAAACTTTCCATTTATGACAAAGTTTGTGATGACTCTCATACAAGGGAACACCCCCCACCCAAGAAAAAGGTAAAAGAAAAAAGAAAAAAGAATGCACCAAATAAAACCCCAAAGCCAATTCCTAGAACTCGTTTGTTGTATCCACAAAAAGCTTTTCAATAGCTGCCCAGATTGGAGGATTTCACCACTTCAGCTTTGCTGGGAAATACTGCAATCAAAATGTTTTTTCAAGTATCAATAAAGTAGAAAGAGAAGATTATATGAAACGACATGATCAATAAGAATTCATATAGTCGAAAAAATTTACCTTCTCAACGAGGGAAATGTAGTAAGGTTTCACTTTCTCCACATCAATCAAAACTCTGCTCTTGCTATACAGATCATATTTGCTGTCAAATACCAACATCAAATATTCAGTCAAACATCATTCTCAACAGTTCATAAATCAAGAAAAGAAAATCTGAAGCAAGTAGAACTACATATTATATTCAATTGGAAAAACAAAGCTTACTTGAAAATATGAAGCCATTTCAGATTTTCATGATCCTCCTCATTCATCAAGTATTTATATGCCCCTGCCCTGTGCAGAGCTACATAACAAAGATTCATGATTAGTAATAAAGACGAAGACGACAACAACAGACCTAGTGGGGTCTGAGAAGAGTAGTGTATACGCAGACCTTACCCCTACTTTGTAAAGGTAGAGATGTTGTTTTCGATCTGAGTAGGGTAGTGTGTGTCTCCAAACCTTACCCCTACCTTATGAAGGTAGAGAGATTGTTTTCGATCCGGAGAGGGTAGTGTGTCCCAGGGGCGGCCCAACCCTAAAGCAAGTGAAGCCCCAAATATTTAAGGGCCCCAAAATTACTAATATTTTTCTATATATAGTAGTATATTATTTATATAATTATCTTTTATTATTGATAAATTTATTTCTTTATTGTCATATTAATTTCTAATAACTCGATTTCTTCCTCTAATTAATATAACTAAAATAGTTTTCTGTCAATCTTATTTTATTTTTTTTACTTAATTATATTTCTCTATTCATTAGTTGGTCACGTAACTATATCTTATAATCTAACTTATTATTTATTTTTNATATATATATATTAAGGCCTCTTATTAAGATTTTGCTTTAGGCCTCCGATGAGGTTGGGCCGCCTCTGGTGTGTCCCCAGACCTTACCCTTACCTTGTGAAGATAAGAAGGATGTTACATAAAACATTTTTCAAGAACGAATAGGTAAAAAAGTTGTTTTTAAATACTTACGATAGAAGGAATGGTATCGGATGATAAACAATGCAGCTGAAGGCAAAGTAGTTTTGTTTTCCTTGGCAACCTACATAATTAAACATACGTAAATCACACATAATTCTTCATTAATTTAATTAAGTTTAAGTAATATTTTCTGGAAAAGAAAAATGCATTACCAAATACATGTAGTCATCATGTCCCCAAGACATAACCACATTATCAAGGCCACATCCTTCAGAATAAACTCCATTTTTTGTGTTGTAAGCTGGATTGTTGTAATCAGGATTTCCCTTAAATTGCTGTAGATTTGGCAATTGAGCAGTAAGAAAAAATGAAGCTCTAGGTGAAAATAATAATAATAAATAAATAAAGACTCGGAAAAAAATAGAAAAGAAAAAGGAAGAAGAAAAAGACCTCATAAAGCACATTTGATTCATCAAAAGCACAGCCAAGGGGGAATGTGTCACCTATCATAATAAATTGGTTAATAAATTTAATACATACCTGAGAAATAAATGTAAAAAATATAGTAATATATTTTTGATTATGTGCAGTAATATTCTTACCAACAACAGCCCACTGAGGAAGCCCCCCAAAGCTTGGAAGCAGAAGAACTTTGCCAAGATCTACAATATTTTGGCAAGATGATGTCAGCATAAAATGCACATTAATTTGCTTAAATTAAATATTTTTTAATTTTTTTTGGAAACAATGGGAAAAGGACAGCCCGATGTACTAAGCTCTAGCTATGTTCCGGGGAAAGGTCGGACCACAAGGATTTATTGCACGCAATCTTACCCTGCATTTTGCAAGAGGATGTTTCCACAATTCGAACTCGTGATCTCCCGATCACATGGCAACAACTTTACCAGTTACGCCAAAACTCCCCTCGGAAAGGGAAGATTGCAGAAGGGTGAGACAAAAGGGAGTAGTGAGAATTTAATCGCATCGTCTCTACTCTCCACTGATACCACTGGACTATAATCGTTATATAAGCGTATATCAATTTTTATTAAGATTAAAATCCTTTTTTTTCATTAGGGTATAGTAAAGAGTCACAAACCATGAATAAGGGCAGTCAAATGCAACCAATCTTCATTAGGATAATCTTTCCTAATAGCTTCAGCAGTTTGCAACAAATGCTGAATTTGGGGTTCATCCAAATCAGGATCACTGTCATCCACAACTTCATTCAGAAGTTCACAACATTCCCAAATGCTCATCTCAACTCTATTCACTTTTCCATACTCTTCTCTCATCTTTTTCACCTGTTTTAATTCAATAAAAATTAAAAATTATATATGCATGAAACCAAAGTTGTTCCAAGTTGTTGTTTTTTTTTTTTTTTGTATTTTTTGGATGCTTACAAAATCATATGTTTGGTTAATGTGGCTCTGTCGATAGAGCTCCTCCACGATCTTTTTCCGTTCAGTTTCTGCATTGTAATCCCTGCATCGATATTTTTTTAATGTTAGAATAAACATAGATATTTATTTTAATATTTGTATACATAAATTTTAATTTTTTGATTGAGAAAACATTATTACCTGAATGAGTTGCCAAATGCATTGTTGCCAGGAACAACAAATCCATCGTTTGAAACATTCTTTGGCACAACAAATCCACCATCAAGTAACAATTCCTCAGCATCAGTAGTTACCTTCTTGTTCTCAAATTCTGCTCCTAATTAGAACAAGATCAAGAACAAAAAAAAATGAAGAGAGTTAATGTCTCGGATGATAATTCAACTTTCAGTTTATTGAATCAAAAAGTCATAAAATTGTTTTTTTAGCGAAAAAATAGTTCAATCGTGCTTATATATCATGGATAATAAAAAAATGTTGAAAAT